CACACTCAGGATGAGCCGTTCCATAATCTCCACCGGGACTGAGATTGTCAGCTGTCGTATGGCCTCCACCTTACAGAAAGCGTCAGAGACTGCTCAAACACAGCAGGCCACAGAGAAGAGCAAGTGGCTGCATGAAAGTGTGTGTATATATATAATATATATGACAAAAGGTGACTGTTTATGTGCATGTGTCATTAACTGCTCTCTATTCTCTCTCTACACGCTGCATCCTATAGATACTGGTTCTATATCGATATAAACGAGCGGGTGCAGGGAGCAGCAGATGCTGCAGCCTCGGGGGCCATTAGCCACCCTCAAGCTGCAAAAAGGTCGTGAGGAGGGAGCATTCCTCCCTCTGTCATTTCAAAAGCCAGTGTGTTCAACGACTTGTGATCCTGGAAGGGCCTCAGCAAGAACCAGCAGTTTTGCACCTGCACCTGAGCCCGAATTTGTGCGAGAGCCCAGCCTCAGCTGCCTCGGCTCGGCCCGAGAGGCAGCAGGGAAAGCAGCACCAGCTCAAGCCCTTCCCAAGAGACAGTTAAAGACACTTCATTGTTTAATATATCAAAACACATAAAATTTATTCAGTTGTTTAGTACAGCAGACTGGGGAGCTTGGTACACCAAAAATCACCCGCACCTTCCTCGGACACTCACGGGCGAGCTCAGGAGATTTCCCCTCTCCAGCTCCCGCTGCGTGCCAGCCTGATGGCGATGTTTCATTCAATACACACATGCACAAGCTTACAAAGCGATGCCGGGCAGGGATGCAGCTCTTTGGAAATAAAGAACACATCGTGGCTGGGTTTCTACCTCTTCTACAAACTTCGAGTCTGAGCCACGGGTACTATTGCAGTGAGGCCAACAGACGCGTGTTCTTCTCCAGAAAGCCCTTCCTCTACCTCTGATCTGCATTTCTGCTGTGAAGAGACAATTGTTCTGCCCACGGGAACCGCACACAGAGAGCAGTGTATGCAACTAACACAACTAGAAGCAGCAAATGTATTTGGGTAAAAAAAAAAAAAAAGCCAATATTCCCCAGGTACATCCCACCAACCCCAGTACTCTGGTTTTGATGTTACTTGAAATTAATCTCTCTCTCACACCACCCCGTGTTTCCTAAAAATGATTTTTACTTGTCCCAGGGCAGCACTACTGCCAGCTGGCTCAGCAAGCCTCAGGGACACAGACAGGTCTGTTAGAAATGAGGCGAGAGAAGAGACGCGACGAGTGTTCTCCTGTGTAACAGCAACCAGAGCTCACCCTCGCTGCTGAGGGGCAAAAGACATCACGGGCTGCAGGGAAACATGAGTCGCTTTTTCCTCTTTCCACAGGCAATGATCTCTCTCTCACTCTACACCCAACTGCGTACTAACAGAGTATTTACACGCTCTAACACCGCTGACAAAGAATTCTTGGCAAAACCCCCGACAGACTCAATGTGAATCACCGGGGAATGGAAGGGGACCGCAGAGTCTCTTCACAAGTTGTCATAGTCGTCATCGTCCTCGTGCTTCCTTTTCAAGGGATTTGCTTCATTGGATGTATTCTGTGACGATACCATATTCGTAGTAATAAGAATGTTCTTTGGTCCGATTAACGAAGGATTAATTAGAACATTCTGAACTGTTGGAGTAGTTGGTGTGGCTGTGGAAAAAGAAAAAATAAGTTAATTCAATAAAAAGCTTGAAAAAAATGATGGTTAATTTTCCCACACTGAAAGAGAACTTCCAGCCTAATGAAGAAACATCCCAGTGGAATATTCTGGGCTGAAAACCCCGGAATGATCCTGACAGCAAAGCACAGAAGAGAGAAGATGGATGGCAGGGTGAGCACAGAAGAGCACGCGAGCACAGAGGCAGCAGGTAAGGTGTAAACGATTAGCAGGATTAAAAAACAGAAGAGGTGAAGCAATCTCCCACATGATTACTACAGATTAATTTCCATTTTGCTAAAAACAACACCAAGAAGTGCAGCTGCTCTTTCCGGCCGGTGCCGTACCTGACTTGACCGCTGCCTGAGAGGACGGGATCTGCACAGTGAACCTCTGCCCGGTCAGTGACACCGGGGTGCCCACTTTGGTTGAGACAGACACTGTTTGTGCTGAAGGCGTGCCTGAAATACAAAAGAACTCCATCAAGAGATAAAGAAATAATTAAAAAAAAAATCTATTTCCACTCATAAATTTGCTTTCAAAGTGGAAGCTATTATTTTCAAAGCAGTGGGAATACACAGGAACATACTGATATGGGATATACCAGAGTCAGATTTTCAGGCAGAACTGCACATTTCCTCAAGGCTTATAAAATTCTAAGCGACAAACACACATGCTACAACAGAAGTGTGCGTGCTCAGTAATAAATTTCATGAACCCCTTAAAAATGGATTATATTCAGTGCTATTTGTAGTTCAGTGTAGGGCTTACATTGAGGAAAAAACTCAAAACTTAGTTCAGGTTCTTGAATAGTCTCTTCATGCATAGAAGTTATTACAAATACAGGAATAAAAATAAAAATATAGAAGGTCAGTAATGTATATATGTATCAAAGATTACAATAAATCTGATTTTTCTGATGCTGTTAGTTAAGGTGCCAAATGATACCAATGTCAGGTGGCATCACCATGTCCTCAGGGGTTGAAGCGTGCTTTAAATTACTCATTACATTTTTCCTCCGTAAAATCAAGATGGGAAACGCCGAGGGAGCTGTTTCCTACCTAAAGTGGGAGTGCTGGGCCTGCTGCTCACAGCACCGACACTCAGGCGAGGGACGGTTATTCTTCCGGCTGAGGAAGAGACCTGCCGGGAGAGAACGTTCAGTTTAACGTTCCGTTAGAAATGAACAGTTCTGAACATGAGAAAAAGAAATGGTTCTTCCTCCAAAACCTCAGCGAGCCTATTTCACAGCAATAACACGTGATTTGTGTTCCTATGCAGAAGTTCTCAAACTCTTTGTGGTGTGAACGTCACCGGCGCAAGCCGGATTGCTCCAGGACGTGACATAACGCCGAAGCTCAGCGGCAGCTGGCGAACAGCGCTCAGGTCAGCTGGGTCAGCTTCTGCTGGAAAGAATGACTTGAACATTTTAATGAACAGTTATTCTTCTCCTCTACAGCCAGCCCCAAGGCATGCCCCGGGGCAATACCTGGAACCTAGCCTTAAGCTCAACTTTCAAAATTCCTTCTTTAAAACAGCAGAAATAAATAAGAAATCCTACACACAGAGACACACAGTACTTTCCAGGAAGCAAAGTAAATCTTTCCTCTTCCCTCTAAAGCAGAAACAACTACGGTATAAGTACAACATACCCTTTAATACCGACACTAAAGCCTTACTTTTGCCTTTTACAAGCTGATATTCAACTCAACAATTTTGCCTTACTCCTAAAAACATTCACAGATGCATTTTTAAATACACTTTGCATTTGAAACTAGCCAGCAATAAGAAGAGATGCAAATTCCCAGAGATGAAGACCACCGACACAGTTCCAAACGCTGTTCTGGCACGCACGGGGTCAGCACTTGCCCACCTGTATCCTTCAGAGGTGTGGAAAATTCTAATCCCACCAACATTCCTGATAAACAATGTGGGCATTAGGTGACCCCTTCCCTCCCCAGAGCCCTCACCTTCTTCTGCAGGGACTTCAGGCGATAGTTGGGCGCTGTCAGGCAGTACCTGTCCGGTGGGAGCCTGGGGCCGGAATAAGGCTTGATCAACGGCAACGGTGTCTGGTTCTTCTGCCTGGCGATGTCTAACAAGAACTGGAGAGACAGGGTTACATTCCTGAGTTCCGTTCCCAGACCATCCGTGTAC